ACACATTTTCGATTAATCTACTATTTCAGAATGCAATTTTTTATTTTTTTGGATTAAAAATGGGGCTCAACATTGTTTATTTTAACTTAAAATATAAATTTTAATTTTCAAGAAACAGGGGCTTATTGTGGCTACAAGTTACATCAGTCACGGTCCAAAGTAGACAGTTTCATGATAGATATGTGGTCCATACATTTTACTTTTTTATATATTTGTCACATTCAATTGGAATATGGTATTGGAATTATGATTGTTTCGTACAACCAAATATTTATTTATTTATTTTTGGGTAGATAACATATTCAAAATGTAATTAAAAATAGATAAGACGTATAAAAGATTATACTAATCTGTCTTGCATTAGTGACTAATGAGAGTGACACTTTTATGTAGTCGAAGATGCTTAGGGTTGGCGTAATCTCTAAACAAATAAGGTTGTTGCTCAAGGTTCTACATTTCGTTTCAAATAATTTTGTTGATGAAATGTCTAATTTATATTTTTTGATCGAACTATGTTATATGTACACCAAAGTTGACACCTTGGTTTGTAAACCTATGTTTGTTGACCAATCTTGGTGCATTGTTGTTAAAATAATCATTTTAGTAAATATAATTTATAGATGGAAATTTTGTTGCTAGATAAATCAATAAAATAGTAAATACTAAAAACAAGTGCATGGCTTACAAAATAACAGTATTTTAAGATTATACATAGAGTTTATTGTCGGCGGTAATTTTAAAAGCCCGTTTGATTCTCATTTTTATAAAAATGATAATGAAAAATATAGTTGTTACGGGACCCACACGAAATATAGAAAGTCAAATATGGTGGCTTGATATGATGAATAACGATCATATTTTACATTTTTGTGATCAAAAAATGGGAATCAAACGAACCCTTAAATTGTAATAATAAATTCTACATACCGTTGGAATTTTCATTATTAAATAAAATAATAAATTATAAAACAACGATATTACCTTAAGGAGAATATGTCATTAATTATGCCACCATTATCTTGAGAAAATTGAGTTTTGAATAGTGATTTTTTAGATAATGTATAGTTAAAAAAAAAAAAAAGGTTCTGGGTTTATGGGCAATATATATATATATATATATGGTTAGAAATGAATATGAAAATTAAAGAGTTTTGAAATAATGATTGTCGAACATGGGCTAAATAATAATTGAAAGAGTTACTTAAAAGTCTGTTTGAACCCCATTTTTATTGAAGAATACATTTTAAAATAGTGAATTGATAGAAATGTGTGGTTAAAAAATGGAAATGTTTTGAACTTATGTATAGTATTATTTAATTAAAAAATATGTGATTGACTTTTTGTTTTTTTTAATAATCAAAATCATGCATAAACTCACAAATTTGTATCTCATTATACAAGGATTAACTTCTTTTAGTCAATACTAATGGAGTAATCCATCTGACAAAATGAAGTGCCTACGTGACAAACACTTGATAAGTTAATTATACAAACAGTACATGAACTTTATTTATTGTATCAAAATTATACGTGAACTTTACCCAATGTATGAAATCCATACATGAACTCGATTCCAATCAAAATCATACATGAATTGACAAATTTTTATGACATTAATACATGAATTCACTTCCATACGTCACAAAGTATCTGAACAGTCAATATGGAAAATGATATGTCTACTTCCGTCTGTACTTTATTATCGTCATCTTACGATAAGTTTGAAGCAGTACTCAAATTTCTCAAAGGGAAAAATCAAAGCGGTCCACTTACTAGTACTTGTCTTTGAAAAATTGGTGAGAGCATTGACTTTAATCCAATCTATTATGGACCGCCCCAGTTCATCACTTATGAGTCATTGCTTACACATTTCTTTCGATAAAGGTTTTTTCTTTGGCAAATTAATATTAAACAAATTGAGTATTAAATAAATGATTTTTTTTTTATTTTTTTTTTATCGAACTTGGTCAAGAAGTTAGGTCTAATGACAGATTCCAACTAGTGTATTGGTCTATAACACATGGGTAATATGAACAAAAAGATATAATTTTAAAATTTTGAAAATTGTAAAAATATTTTTTTATTTTTATTTTTTTGACATATAAACCTTTTTTTTTTACCACTTTTGTAGTCGTACCAATTGGAAAAGCAATAATAGTAAGTGATTGATGGTGAAGGAGTATTAAAATGCACATTTTAATACCATTTTAAAAGTCGGTAAGTTCAGTAAATGATGAATAAGTACCATATTGACTATTCAAAAAATCCCGCTCGATTATCTTTTTAATTTCGAAAATCCATTATTTAGTGATTAGTTCATATGGAAAATTCGACATCCATTGTGTAAAAATAAAGGGCACAAGTCCAATTAAACCCCTGTTTGGTACCCATTCATTCCTCATTAAAATGAAAAATATGATCATTATATATCACATCAAACCATCAAATTTGAATTTCTATCTACTGTGTGGGGCCCGTAATAACTATATTTTTCATTCTCGTTCTTCCAAAAATGAGAAACAAACGGGGGCTAAAATAGCTTCCGTGCTATGATTCTTTTCCCTTTAAATTAAGTTATAAAGTTAGATATACATCGCAATCGTCTTAGTGGCCGTACAGATTTATAAAAGACTAATTGGGCCGGTCAGGACCATGTGGCCCACAACCAGTATGTCATTTCAATTGGACTGGACCATTAACTGGCATTTGAGAATGAACTTTCATAGCACATTTATTTATTTATTTTTTTGTTCAGAGCATATCCAATAGACTATTTAAACATAAAATGTTCTCTATTATAAAAAGTCAACCTTTAAAATTATATTTCATGAAACTCTTTAACTTAACATTTTAAAATAGAGAGTAATGCCACAACCGATAGAGCGGAATGAGTTTGATTAGAGCTGCAGGCCACAAGCTTTCCAATGGCATCTTTCTCAACCTTTCTTAGAACATTGCCTCGAGCGGCCAAAGGAACGACTAATACTGCTTCACTTGTTGCACCCCGTATCACTTCATCTTCTTGTCCTGGAACTCGACTCCATACCATAAATAGAATTTCTTATATCCATTAATTTTAAATAACTAATACAAAATTACCAATTTAACAAACAAGAATTTAATTTTCTTACAAGTGAAGTTTGTTTGGAAAGGAATGCCTGTTGAGAGGAATTCATCCGGTAGCTTGAGTGCCTTCGCAGGCCAATCCAAAATGATCATTTCAAGTACTGTTGCAACAAGAAAAGTTGAGAAATGCTACATGTACTACTTGGTTTATAGAAATTACAGATGGCAAGATCTCACATTATCTTTGACAAAATTATAATTAATCCAGCTGTTAAAATACTATCACGTCATCATCAGTTGTCCGTACAATTCATCTGTACAAACATCATGTTCGGGGGAAGTTATCCAACTAAACCCACCATGTTAATCCTAACACTGAGCATCAGCCCCGAAAATCCTACAACATTGCGAATGGCAATAGGTTCCAATCACCGACTTGCTTTCATAATGAGCTTATGGCCTGAGCAGAGTCCAGAATTCAATCATGTTAATAGAGTTTGCTTTGCTACCAGATGAGCTTAGTTTGCCTTATTTATCTTATATAATTCTAGCTACGAAAGAAATCGAGTTAACACGGGTTGAACTTGGCTCATCCTGTAATGGGCCGGTTCCAGGCTAAACTTGATTCTTTGATCAACAAGTCGAGTTTGGAATGATTGAAATGCTAGGAAGTAGGGATCGAAAATAATACCAATTGAGTGCTGCTGCAGTTGGTGTTCTTTTTTATCTCACGTTAACAAGAATAAAACTCGGCCCATTGCCATCGGTTACCACATCTCACCCAATAGGCCCAATATTAACTCTACAGAAAGAGCTGGATCCTCTGTGGCGGTAGAGCAATACCTATAAATGGCTTCAAGACTAAAATGTATCGGTTGGAACACATTTCACCGTCTATGCTACATATATACATCATACAGATACATACACGAATATATTTATCATCGATAGTGAGATGGAGGATGAAGCTGAGATACATGACGGAATTAGGGCGCAGTTTCCATTAACTTTTGGTAAGCAATCGAAATCCCAAACCCCTCTCGAAGCCATTCACAATGCAACGCGCCGGCCCGACGCCGCCGTGTCTAGCGTAAAGCCACCATTGTCTACTTCTAATAACAAAACCAATGACTTGCCTTCTATCTCTAGCTCCTCTAGAGCTTGGTTGGACTCCCTCAAAAACCCTAAGCGTAACCCTAGATCTAGTGTTGGAATAAATGAAAATTTAAAGAACAGAGCCAAGGAGGATGAGTTGGTTGGGCCACCTCGGCCACCAGTTGATGAGGATGAGGAAACGATTGGACCCCCCAGGCCTCCTGGGAGTTATGAGGAGGAGGAGGAAGAGGGTGACGGAGCAATGATTGGACCTCCTAGGCCGCTTGGTGGAGATGTGGAGGATGATGAGCCGATTATTGGACCACCTCGGCCACCACCGGACCCCGCAGAGTCAGACTCGGATGATGATATGGATGGAGAACCCGAGGATGATCGGTATCGAATACCCATGAGCAATGAGATTGTGTTGAAGGGGCATACCAAGGTATAATTCCACGTTATCTGCGTTTACTTGTTCCTTCAGAATAATAATGGCTTGGTGAACATTACATACTAAATTAATTACCATGAATATGGGTTAGAGTTTAGGAATTTTTAACTTTTCTATGCAGAGTGATTGAATTTTTTTGGATTTTGTGATTTTATTGCAATGAAACATATGGATAATATGTGGTCTCTTTTGTCAGTAAAAAATGTTCTATCGTTTTTCGATGTCACCTTCAATAAACACACACAAACACACTGCTTCAAATTTGTGAAAGAAAAAGAAAAAGCTTTCTAGGTGTTTTAGTCTTCATTTTTTGTTTGGAAGGGCAATCTTCTATGGGCTGCGTATTTGCCCTCATTATTTTATCTTACCTACATCTCTCTCAATTTGTTCCCTGAAGTTCATCCAATTTTACATGCATACAGCTTTATACAATAGGTTCAGAATTTTGCATTCCAGGATAGCTCTCAAAAGCCATTACTGATAATCTACTCAACAGAATATGGAGGTGCTTAACTTTCAGTAAATACCATATTACAATTTGGTGTTACGAAATTGCGATTAAACGACTTGATAGTAGGTTTATATATTGCTTTGAAATGGCATACACTGTTGGATAACTATTTGAAATTTTCATTGTCTTAAAATTCTAATGAAGTGTAAACTCAAAAGATATATGATATATATGCGTGGCATGGAATCCCAAGTTTATCCACAGCAATTTATCCTTTTTGGGTATTGATATAGTCTTGTGACTGAACTTCATGGTGATACTCTTCGAAGGTGGTTTCTGCACTTGCAGTGGATCACACTGGATCTAGAGTACTTTCTGGCAGCTATGACTATACAGTCCACATGTATGATTTTCAAGGAATGAATGCTCGTTTACAGTCATTCAGACAGCTCGAACCATTTGAAGGTCATCAAATTCGTGGTTTGAGTTGGAGTCCTACCTCAGATCGATTTTTGTGTGTGACTGGCTCAGCTCAGGCTAAGGTGCTTCCGCGATGATAATCCATGTTTTATATCTTGTTTGATGCCATTAACATGTTTAGTTAGAACCGATCTTTATGTTGTTTTATCGCAGATCTATGACCGTGATGGACTTACATTGGGTGAGTTTGTCAAGGGGGACATGTATATACGGGATCTTAAGAATACAAAAGGCCATATATCTGGATTGACTTGTGGAGAGTGGCACCCTAAGTCCAAGGAGACAATCTTGACATCGTCTGAAGATGGTTCGCTGAGAATATGGGATGTAAATGACTTTAAAAGTCAGAAACAGGTCAATTTTTCATATTCACAGGCTTTTTTTTTCTTCTTGAGGAATTCGTGACTTGAACTTTAACTTGATTAACTGAGAATAGGAATATATTTCTACTGGCAAATGACTTAAGCAAATGCAAACCATTTTCGTACCGCAAAACCTTTTGTGGTATCAACACAAAAGCTAACTATAGAAAGTATATGGTAAGCTCTGGTTGTGTACTAGCCAGCTGCAAAATGGGACCATCTTCCCATTTGAAATTTGAACTTGAATTTTTCAAGCTGCCAGTGAAGTAGAAAAAGAAATCATATTTAGCACCCACTGAAAGCTATAAATAATCTAGTAGAATATTGGTTTTCTAAGTTTTTCCAGATTACTGATGTTTGTAGTGACACTTTGAAATATCAGATCTCACTCGTTAAGTTTCACCATTTGGGGTAAATGGCAATTGAATTTCTGTACTTGTACGAGTAGGAAGGGTTGATGAAACTTCTGTGTGAGCGCAATAGGTGTTTTCAAGGTCTGCAGAAGTTCTAGAGTTGTCATTCTATTTGGTGCAGTCTACCCATTTGATGACTTGGTACATGCACAGATAAATGTTTAGTCTCCTGTTATGAGATTGTAACTGCATTTTATAGCTCAGTTTTGATGCTCTGAGAAGAAAGATGGCATAACACGTAATGGTATATGGATCTTATCTCATGTCTTCAATCTCTTTGTCCTTTTCTTTAGCTTCCATCTTCTTTATCCTGCTATTTACTTATTTACTTTGGTATCTGTTTGGCTCTTCTTGATGGGGTTTCCACCCCAAGGGGAGATGGTTAGTGGTGGTGGTGAAAAGGGTCACCTTAATGCTCATTTGAGTGTGTAACACTAGTAAGATTTGTGCTGCATCTCTTCATGAGCATGTGATTGCAGCACCAGTCATGATTTCTTTGAAAGTTTTAACCACATACTTTAAAGCTAACTGTCTGACTCTATTGATAGGTTATTAAACCTAAACTTGCTAGGCCAGGAAGAGTTCCTGTAACCACATGTACTTGGGATTGTGAAGGAAAAAAAATTGCAGGTGGCGTTGGGGATGGTTCTATACAGGTATCTTTTGCCAACTTTATTGCTTTAGTGAAGTAAGGACAAGTCGAAAGTGAATGAGATCTTTGGTATTTATATACCAATAGCTACCTTGTTTGAAGACTTCACGATCTTTGTCCTTTCATCACTGTTTTGTTGAAGTGCTTTATGTTCTTATTACAGATATGGAGTATTAAAGCTGGATGGGGAAGCAGGCCAGACATATCTGTTGCCAATGGTCATTCTGACGATATCACTGGACTTAAGTTTTCCAGTGATGGACAAATACTATTGTCAAGAAGCTTTGATGGTTCACTGAAGGTATTATTGTACTCCATTGTCAAACCTTCACTATATTCTCTTGTTTTGTCTTCTTTACTGTTTAACACTGCAATCTATCTAGGTCTGGGATGTGCGTAAAATGAAGGAGTCTCTTCGGGTGTTTGATGATCTTCCAAATAATTATGCTCAGACAAATATTGCATTCAGTCCTGATGAACAACTCTTCTTGAGCGGAACATCTGTTGAAAGGGATAGCACAACAGGGGGTCTGCTATGTTTCTTTGATAGACCTAAACTGGAACTTGTTTCAACTGTTGGAATATCTCCCACATGTAGTGTTGTTCAGTGTGCTTGGCACCCAAGGCTGAATCAGGTAAAAGATTTTTGTTTTGCCCGAAAAATACTTCATCAGCAGTTCCATTTGTTTTTCCTTTTTGTTGTTTGTAAAGGGAGAGCTAATGCCCTGGCCAGCTTTTGAAACATTGATTAATACACTACAGATTTGGACAATTTTCTTTTTCTATTTTTTTCGACTCTCTAGTTTGAACAAACCTGTCTGCCAAAATAGTCTCTGCCAGCTAAACTTCTTGGTCTTTGAGATTGTAGATCTTCGCCACTGCTGGGGATAAACACGAAGGGGGCACTCACGTACTCTATGATCCAACAGTTAGTGAAAGAGGAGCTCTTGTTTGTGTTGCACGTGCACCACGGAAAAAGTCTGTTGATGATTTTCAGGCACAACCTGTTATTCAGAACCCTCATGCGCTTCCCATGTTTAGAGATCAGCCAAGCCGTAAACGTCAGCGCGAGAAAATATTGAAGGATCCACTCAAGTCTCATAAGCCTGAGCTTCCCATGAACGGGCCAGGTTTTGGTGGTAGAGTTGGTACAACCAAGGGAAGCTTACTGACTCAATACCTTCTTAAGGTAATTTCACTAGCTGTTGAACAGAAACAAGCCCTTTTGAGAAACAAATCTTACATTTTGCGTTAAATTTTCAGCAAGGTGGTTTGATCAAGGAGACGTGGATGGAAGAAGATCCCAGAGAAGCTATTCTCAAGTATGCTGATGTTGCTGCCAAAGATCCGAAGTACATCGCTCCAGCATATGCAGGCACACAGCCTGAACCAGTTTTTGCCAAGTCAGATTCCGACGATGAGGAGAAATGAGACAATATGTTAATGGTATTCTTCCCCTTTTGGAACAATTAAACAGCTATTCATATTCTCCATTTGACGTTCTGTAACTGGCTTATATGTTTTTATTCGTGATAGAGCAGGCTCCGTGACATGTTAAAGAATCTTGTATCTGTTTATCTAGTAGTAGAAATAAAATTCTGCAACTTTGTTATGTAAATCGTTTTGTGACATCTGATATTGACAAATTCTGCAGTTAATTAATTTAGAATATCAATTAAGATTGCACCAGGTGTAAAAGTCTCTACATTCTATAGGACTGATGTCTTTTCTGTTATCATGTGTTAATTTATATAGAATATTTCGAAAACAATATAAATAACAACCATGTTCTAATGGTAATCGAGTATCAAAACTGAGAATAATAACTAAACATAAGACAATGGTTAAATTGCAGGAACGTGTATTTGAATGAGAATACAAAATTTCAAAATACTGGAAAAAAATAATAAATTTTCGAGGATTGAATCTCTTCACTGGATCTTGACTCCCGCTTCTCCTTACTATGACTCCAAGGAAACCCAAATGATATTTCTCTTCATTGTGTAATATCTTGTAATTTGGCTCCTAAGATTATCCTATAACGCCTCCCCCATCCAATATGAGGATTTTCTAATTTTATATAGGTCTTCAAGAGTCCCAAATGGCGCTTAAAGGCCCTCAAACCTTAATAAATAAGTTTCTAAAACGAACAGAGAAAGTGGCAGAACATTGGTTGCGCCGAGCACCCCAAGTTGGCGCCCGAGCACAAAGCCAAATAAGAACTACTGAGGGCAGCCTGTAGGACCTGCCGACCTAGCATTAGAGGGCATTCTGCTCCAACGATCGAATTTGAACGCACTTAATTTTAAATCCATTCAAATATGTTTCAATACGATAATGCTATTTCATTTTGTCCTTCGAAGATGCTTTTATCAAACTTCATACTCTAATTTTCTCACTTGTTTAGTCCTTTTCTTTGTCCTTCCATTTCTTTAGCTTTTTGATATTTTGAACAATGCTAGGTGTACACCCTGACTGACAACCCTCTAATTATAATCGCTAGCCCCATCCCTTATTAGAGGGCTGTCAGACTACGGGTGTATTTGAACTACATTATTTTGAAAGAATATATTTTAGAATATTAAATTGATGGGAAATATGTAGTTAAAAAATGAGAATTTTTTTTTGAATTTATATGTAATATTATTTTATTGAAAAATGTGTGATTGAAATGATGTCAAATCACTCTTTAAAAATGCGTGTAAACTTAGCATTTTCACGATATTTTCTCTCTCACTTCATTCTTTAGCCGCATTTTCAGCAGTTCAAGCCCCAGTTTTCGAATATTCCATCTTTTGATCCCTTCTAGCATCATAATCCTTTCATTTTTGCCTTGTTTACCTTCGAGTAGGGGATTTGACCTATGAAATCAAACATAACATAAAACAAGTAGAATTCCGCACAATTAATTCGCATTAAGTACAGCTAAATAATTTAGATAAATATGTAAAATACTTTATCATTTTAACTGTAGTTCTAGAGAAGAAACAAATTAAATGGGAACACGTTTAATTGGGATATATATACAAATGCAGCTTTATTCAAAAATGAATATCGCACAAGAAAAATAAATTAGAATTTAGCAACTGAATGTCAGTAACCTACATTCTTTGTAAATTTTACAAAAACAAGCGTTTTGAAATACTTGGTTTAGAAAACATATTCATCGAACTTATAGCAAAATTTTAATTGATCACCTTTTTTTCATCACCCAAGTTTCATTTTTTATTTCAATTAGGCAGGTGAAAATGACAACTGAAGAAAAGAAAAATGTTTGGTGTGTAGTACTAAACTTTTTGTGCAGAGGTTGCTAGACTCGGCTTCTTGGAAAAAATGTGCCGGGAACAAAGTTCTCCTGCGCATCTTTATTCAACAAAATTAAATCACCAAGAACCTCACTAGAGCAGGCTTCATTGCCAACAAAATAGGATTACAAATATTTTCACAGTTGAAATCGATCACATATTCACAAATAAGGACCAATAGTGATACTCAGGCACTCCATTTACATATTTAGTTGGATCATGGAAGCTGCTCAAGTTCAACGCTATGGCTGGAGATCCCAATGATAGTTAGGCCACCTCTGAGTGCTGCTCTACAGGTTCATGTGCCTGCTACACAAAAAGAACCATAAACAAGAAACCCTCGATAAAGATATGTATGTTTGTGTATCTGTCTCTCTCTCTCTCCCCCTGGGTGTGTATATATAGTACCTCTTGACTATGCTGATCTCTGGATAAAGACTTGAGCTGGCCAGTTTCCATGTTTGAAATCAACTGGGCAACGGTTTCCAGATGAGGTACGCTACAAGAATTGAATAGTGAGTGAAGTGAAAAGAAGAAATGATGGAACAAAGCAAGTAAAAATACAATCAAGGCCCCATTAGTTCATGGAATGCTTATAAATTAAATCACAGAACACACAGTTCTTTTCATATGATATCGATTATATACTGAAGTATTAACCAAGGGCTTGGGCTACTTCTCTCAACAAGGTTGCCCTTTTTAATATGGAACCCCAACTCTTAATACCTTCATCTCTGGATTTCAAATTAACAAATGCATAGAATGGGAAAAATCATTCTGCCTAGAATACAATTATAACTTGCATAAGGGTGGAAAGATCTTTTCAACTCTAACCCACAAGTTAGAATTGTCTAAGGAAAATCAACAGCCTAAACATTGTACAGTCACTGCCCCGAGCACATAATAGTTAGAAACAACACTAGCAAAATCACAAGATAACCTATAAAAAATCATAGTTTATCATCGAATTAGAAAAGCATGAGTCTCCGCTGTATGAAATGATTCCAAGAAATCATCACCAAGTTCGCCACTTTAAACACGAATTCAAAATATTATAACTTGACAACCAAAAGCCAAAAACATCAAATTAGAACCACGGTTATTAACTCCCCATGTATCATGTGAAGAAAAGTAGAAAAGAAAATGCAAGAAAGGGAAAATAGGACCTTCAAAGAGACAGGCAGAAGCAGACAGAGATGATGGCAGCTGTCTTAACTGAAACTGGGGTCTTAACTTCATTCATCTGTTTTTCTACTTTTACTTAACGACACATCAAATGAATGGAATCAAACAGAAACCTTAATTATATTTTTCACTCGTTTTCTCCTTGAAGTCAGACCTTTGTCGTTAAACAAACCGCTAAACAACAGGTGAAAATTTAACATGCTATTCCAATTAGTGAACAGAATACAACAGATACCTTTGCAATCCACTTTCCACATGTGCATCCAATGATGAAATTACCTGAGGCATCTGTTGCAACACCTGTATCAAATACAAAGGATTGTAAGAATCAGGAGTCAAGATAGTATCATTTTCTGAAGTGAATTTAACCTCATGATTACCAACTCTGTGTTTCTTATTGTGGATGTTTTAGCCAAAAGGTTTTTCGGAAGTTTCATTAGTTGGGCCTGCAAAGAAATAAAATATATCATTCATGATGCAGATTCTATCATCATATCAAAGTTAATCTACAGAGCTAACAAGCAACCTTTTTAAGCAACAAGTAAAATTCCTTAAGTTAAAAATTCAAAGGAAGATTCGCAAAATCATCACGAGTTATTATCATAAAAAATGCATAAATTATACAAAATCAAATATAAATGATTCAAAAATAGGGAATTTGATACCTTTGAGGGCTTTTAATGCTCAATGATTGTAATCTATTACGGTTCCTACAGTTAAATGATAGCTTATTTTGGGAACTATAATTTCAATACTCGCATAACAAACTTACAAAAAGAAAAGAAAAATAAAAAATGAGAACCCCATTTCATCAGTTATAATAAAACTTCACTACCCACAGATTCCACCATAAAAATTCATCCAATCCATTTAACAAGACTGGAAGACATGCGCAATAAACATCAATTAACCACATAATTATCAATAATCGATACAATGATCAACTTAATTCTACTCACAGGTCAGAAATAAACACACACAAAAGAAGGGGCAGAGGGATAGAAATAGTCTGACATGGGAAGGAGAGGACTGGAGCATGAGATGGAGGAGATTGGAGGTCGATTGTACGGACTGGGAGATTTGTTCCGCTACGATGGTCTTCGTAGACCCTTCTTTGCTCCCCAAGCTTGATGCCGCCATTCGAAAAGTTTTTCCTTTCCTTCTCCCTTTCTCATCTATTTATCACTGTCATCACACTGGTTTCCAAGAAAACAAAAATAAAAATTAGAGATATAAGCTTTGTATCATTGAATGAAAAAAAATTGTTACGCCCTTGGGACTCATTTTCACCGAAATGAACTCTTTAAAAGTGATTTAATCAATTTTTATTACACATTTTTCATTAAAATAATATTATATGTCAATATAAAAGTTTTCTTTATTTTTTTATCACACATTTTCCATCTATACATTTTTCAGCAAGAATGGAGCATTGATGCAATGTAACATGACGGGGGAAATAAAATTAGCAACTATGAAGAGATTCGTCTAGATGTAGGGGTTTGATTAGACCGAATCCATTAGTGAAATATAGCTCTTGTTTGAATCACATTATTTTCATAAAAATACATTTTTGAATAATTTATTGGTGGAAAATAAAGATAAGTTTTGAATTTCCATGTAATATTATTTTATTAAATGATATATGATTAAAATGATGTCATATCACTATTTAATAAGAATGTATTTTTTTTCCAAATAATGTAGCTCAAATAGAGCCCTGATATTTATCTCTCCTACTAAATAGAGATTAAGAGATCATTTGATTTCCATTATTCTAATAATGAAAATAAGAAATATAGTCATTACGGGATTCACACAAGATAAAAAATCAAATATGATAGCTCGATATAATGGATAACGATTATATTTTTTATTTTTGTGACAAAAAAATGAAAATCAAACGTGCCCTAAAAATAAAATTTGAACTTATTAATCTATTTCATTAAATATTGATTTCACGTATATTGGAAACCTTTCTATTCGCACATCATAGGGGGGGCAATTCACACGATGCATTGAAAATGCCCTAAAATAGGGTAACATGGGACTATGTCTGGTTGATGTGGCAAGAAAAAAATAGAGATATTGTTGAGGGACTTGTCTAAATGTGGATGCTTAGTTACATGGAGCAAGTTAACAAAATTTAAGCTCTCTCCCGCTAAATGTGTTAAAAATGAATTTTGAACTTAACAATGAATGATGCTATTCACAATAAAAACTATTGACAGCAGTTCTACATAACATACACATTACAATTTGTTATTTTATACATAAAGTAATAAAATACTATCATATAAATGTGTCAAATAACAATTTTTCATGTATATATTACGTAAGGCGAGTGCCAATAGTCTTTATTATGAATAACACTAATGACATGTAAATCAAACTCGTTTCTATTTAAGTATCATCTAGATGGCAATTCATTTAGCCTCTATTTAGTTTGACCGGAAATTAGGTTTTTAGTAAATCTCGATAAAAAAAAATACATTAATGTTTTCAAAATCAAGTTGGACTGATTGGTTCAACTAGAAAAATAGGGAACCGGACTGAATTCGAGCCAATCATAGGAGAAAACAATATTCATCTTTAGTAAAGGATGGAGTAACATTGTCAATAAGCACGACAATAGATTAAGTCCTGTGAGGACAGTCGGGAGTAAACGATCTTTTCTCTACTATATAAAAAGGGGAGTGTGAGGGTACTGTAGAAAGTAACAGTGCCTTGATCCATCTTTATTGTAACATTTTTGTTTTTGTTTTCAATTGGAGGGCCAAAAACGACGCCGTTTGCTTTATATATTTTTTATTTTATTGTACACTACCTCCAAATTTACTGCAACACGCAATTTTCATTCCTCCCCCACTCCGATTTAGATATATATAGTAGGGATATAAGAAAAATATCACTTATATATATATACATACAAATAACATAAAAAATCATTTTTATCTTCAACAAAAAAACACATTTAAAAATTAGCAATTTCATAATCACTTTTTTTTATTCCCGAAAATACAATTATAAAAAAGAAAATAATATTGAATTACAAAAACCAATATCTGCTAAATACAGTATCTAAAGACAATATGTGCAAATACGGTATGCTGTAAATATGATATGATGCAAATACGATATATTGTATATACGGTATGATACAAATACGATATGCTGTAAATACGGTATAATGCAAATACGGTATGCTATAAATACAGTGTGCTGCATATACGGTATGATGCAAATACAGTATGCTGCATATACGGTAAATTGTAAATACGATATGCGATATATATAATGCATATACGGTATGAATGAATCTGATTTCATCCACTACAATAAATTTTAATACCGTATATGCTGTCTACCGTATTTGTAGCTTACTATATATACAGCCTACCGTATTTGCAGACAACTTACCGTATATGCTACCTACTGTATGTGCAGCTTACCGTATATATCGATTTTTGCACTTACAAATATCGAGAGTGCAGAACACTATACATTCACTTATCAAACCAAATGTCAGAAAAAAATTTCAGATTTTTATTTTTTCAACATAAGCATAAAATAAATATTAAAATATATGAATGATAAAATATAAAATGCATATGAATATGCAAGTCGATTTATAATTATGCAGTGTCACACATTATACATTTGGAATTTCTTAAGTCGGTGCAAAATAATTTTGAAGTCATTCTAGAGCGAATTAAACTACTGAAATGTCTATACTAGAAATACAATTGTGCAAATTAATATGAATTAAATCTACATTGCATGGGACTTTGATTTATTTATGACAAATGTTGGTGATTAATCTAAAGACAATATGTGCAAATACAGTATCCTATAATACTATATGTTATAGTCAAGATATAACACGCTATAAGTATATGTTATAATACAATTAGCATATAATGAGAAATTATTGCTGTACAAATTTTTTTTGTTATATTACAGCAATATGCATATTATAACATATAACTTATCTTATATGCTATAATACAATCTGTGCGGTCATGCAGCGACTTTTTATTTTTTTTAAAATTTAATCATGCAACCTAATATTTGCTTAGTTTGTTATTTTATTGGTTAAAAATATACATTAAATCTAATAAAAAAATATAATACAAGAATAAGTTTAATTTCAATATTATACAAAAAAAAATCTCAAAGAAATAATCATTGCTAACAACAAATGAATCTAAAAAAATGAAAAAGACAAAAACGAAAAAAATAAAATTTGTGAAAAGAAGAAAATGAAAGCATGATGCCAAAAAATTTGGCATTATTGTTTGAATGAGAAATATTTTATTGATATACAAAAGACTCTTGCAGTCACCGGGTTGAAAGTATGGATTTATTGTGTTGTGAATTTTTTTTTAAATAATCGTAGTAAATCTTCTTATTATGATAATAAAATTACAATAATTTTTTTTTTATTTTTACAAATAGCATAAAAAAATCATTTTTATCTTCAACAAAAAACACATTTAAAAATTAGCAATTTCATAATCACTTTTTTTTTTAAAAAAAAATTCCCCGAAATAAAATTATAAAAAAGAAAACAATATTGAATTACAAAAATCAATATCTGCCAAATACGGTATCTAAAGACAATATGTGCAAATATGGTATGCTGTAAATACGTGTGCTGCATATACGATGTGCTGTAAATACGGTATGATGCAAATATAGTATGCTGTAAATACGATTTGATACAAATACGGTATGCTATATATATGGTAAACTGCAAATACGGTATGCGTAAATACGGTATGTTGCATATATGATATGTAAAGTGCATATACGATATGAATGAATCCGATTTCGTCCACTACAATAAATTTCAATACCGTATATGTAGCCTACTGTATTTGTAGGCAACTTATTGTATATGCTAACTGCCGTATTGCAGCTTACCGTATATACTAATTTTTGCACTTACAAATACCGAGAATGCAGAACACCATACATTCACTTACCAAACCGAATGTCAGAAAAAAAAATTCAGATTTTTATTTTTTCAACATAAGCATAAAATAAATATTAAAATATATGAAGGACAAAATATAAAACGCATATGAATATGCAAGTCGATTTATAATTTTATACTCAATCTTCAATTTTTCAATATTGAATTACACAAAATTTAGAAATATAATTTTCACATTCAATTCAATCATATCAACACTATCAAATAATACATGCAAAATCGTTTGTATAACCTCGTATATTTCTTATTTAAGTATGAAATATATAAGCATATTTTTTTAGATAACACAGTACTGTTGCAATTGTAAAAATAATTTGCAATAATTTTCTTATATCATGGAAATATTTTTAGATATTATTTCAAAAACTTTCCAAAAAACTAAAATTCATACGCTAATAAAAATATGATATATGCAAAATTCGTGCAACGCCCGTGACAGTGACTAGTTGCAGATTACAAAAGAGTATGAGTGAACATGGTAGGCTCATCTCGAGATGTGCTTGGAACGATAGCACCGGGTTTGAAGATTCTTTTTTTATCATGTTTAAGGTATACAATATCGAAGGGCTGTCGGTGTAGTTTAGGTGTTTGAAATTTACTAGTGGAAAATGCAAGGAAGTGGGGGAGGGTTCTAATTTTGCTCATCAAAATTCATTAAAATATAAACATATATGCAGTCAATTAATATTTGGCTCTTCATTGGTGATTGAATTAATACCTCAATTTAAATTGAGTCATTAATAGGCAAAACGGTGGGTTTGACTCAATTGTGTCAATGGCATTAAGTTTTATTTTGTTAAGACATGAATAGATTATTTTGTTCTTCTCTAAAAATGAGCAATCGAAAGTCTATCGATGTATAATTGATCAACTGACGAATTAGACACTTATAATTCAAAGTTTGCAAACTTTTGGTACAGTGATGTCAAATATAAGAAGTTTGGGACATCTAATGCAAATTTGCTAAAAGTATATGGAGTGCTAATCCACAGCCATTCTCTCCCGCATGTTTTCTCCAATTTATCTTCACTGCTAAATCCGCTCGGAACGAGGTGACTCGGTCACCTACTCTGACTCAGCTGAGTTCAGCATAACATTAAGTCAAAACAAATAAAAATGGCAGCATTTGTATCCCACTCATTTCCAAGTGCGACACTAGTAAAATCTTCTCCATCTCCAAATCATTCTTCTTCCTCTTACAGGTATTGTTTATTCTCAAACACCAAAGCCTAACTAAATTAGTTAATCACTAAATTCTCTGGTTCAATTTTGAAGCCATTTCTTGTATCAGTAAGAATAATTGTAAAGATCGAATTGAGAAGCTCTATTGCTGTTTAAGCGGAAGTTAATCGGAAAGTTTTATATAATTTTTGTTATTATTTTTGAAAAGGGTCAAAATGTCGTCCTCATCCAGTCCTGCGCTGCCTCCTCTCCCTGAAAATCGCGTTGTTGTGAGTACGGCTTCTTCGTGTTAATGAATATGCGTGTGGTAATATTGTAACGTTTCCTCTTTCCAGTATCTTATGATGGATTGAAATTTTGTTCAAGTAGTTGGGTTGCGGAGCAGTGTCGGTTGATTTTTTGGCAGCAGTGGCTTCTTATCCGAAGCCTGATGATAAGCTTAGAAGCACCAGCGCCAAGGTACTGTTTGATATTATAATTTCTATTGAATTACTATACTATGGTATAGTGTAATTTTAATCACTGACTGGAATAGTACTTCTGCGAACAGTTGATTTTTTTATTATCTTTTTATAAGTACTAGTCTTTGATACCTGCGTTGCACGAATTTTGTATTTATTGGAATTTTTATTAAAGTCAAAATTGTAGTTTTTTCAAAATTGGTTGAAGATTCGAAGTATTGGGTAAAGTCTAATCGTTTGGTTCATTACATTAGCGCAGGATGCATGAAAATTTCTTTTTCGTTTTATATTTTTTTTCCTCATTTATTTATTTTTTATTTGTTTTATTCATATTGTAAATATTTTTTTTTTATTTAAAATATTTTTAATTCTTTTTTCTTTATGAAAAAATTTATTTTTTTCAATTTTAATTAAAAAATATTTATATTGTAAGAAAACACTGCAACACGCAATTTTCATACCTCCCAAAAAATTTAAAAATAAAGATAGTATAAGACAGAAAATATTTTACAAAAAGTTACTTGTAAGTAAAAAATTTGAAGAGAGAAGAATTAAAAAGAATTTTAAATTGAAAAAAAAAATTATTTGTAACGTAAGACTACGATACTGATTTCTCTCGGCACCATATTCATATGTATTTATATTTTGTATTTCATATATATTTAATATATATTTTATACTTATGTTGAAAAAATAAAAATATGGAAAATTTTTTGAAATTCGGTTTGGTAAGTGAATGTACGATATTCTGCATTCTCGGTATTTGTAAGTGCAAAAATCGGTATATAAAAATACGGCAAGTTGCAAATACGGTAGGCAGCATATACGGTAAAGTGCAAAATACGGTAAGTTGTTTGCAAATACGGTAAGCAGCATATATGGTACACTGCCTGCAAATACAGTAAGTTGCATATATGAATTTATAATTTGTTATAAATGTATAAAATTTATTTAGTATTGAATTTCTTAAGTATTAAATGTTTTAATTCAATATTGTTTCCTTTTTTATAATTGTATTTTCGAAAAAAAAAAGTGGTTATGAAATTGCTAATTTTTAAATGTGTTTTTTCGTTGAAAATAAAAATGATTTTTATGTTATTTGTAAAAAAAAATTTATTGTAATTTTATTAGCTTAATAAGAAGATTTATTATGCATTTTTATTTTTTGCATTTTGTGAAAAATTTTGTTTATGGTGATTGACAAATATTCTTTAACACACGCATCATGCCAACAACATTTAAAAAATAATAATTTTAGTATATATTAAAAAAAAAAATTATGGAGCAAATCCTCCATAATACGGAGGCTTTATCCATAAAGCCTCCGTATTATGGAGGCTTCATGGAGATAAAACTTCCATAATATGGAGGCTCATGTGTGCTTGAGTGTCCGTAATTACGGAGGTCTCAGCGTGCATTTTTTTACTTTCTGTTTTCTTCATTGGCTCTCAGTACAATAATTTAATTTCATTTAATCAACTTAATTTTTTTAATATTCTTAAAATAAAAATACATAAAATAATAGAGACTTACTCTTTCTCTATTTTCACACGCTACAACCATGTTTCTCTATTTCTCCACACTATCTCTTTCACCATTTTCTCACGCTATCAACTATGTAGCTTTAGAAAGTTTATTTTTGAGCACATAAGTAAGTTTAAATAAAAATATTATTTTTATATATGTACGTAAAAGGTATATATTAACTATTTGGATGACCAAAAAATAATATCAATCAAAATGTTTACGAACAGTTTAAATAATCATTTATTGAGGGGGATAATTCAAGAGCAAAAGTGTGAATTCCATAAATATATGATTGAAAATATGTTTGAAGGAAAATAAATTTTAAAAAATAAAGACCAAACATATTAACAAATGAATATATTTATTTTTCGAGAAATGAGTTTTTATTACCATTTCATTTTTATCATGAAATGATTCTAATTTTAATATGTTAGATTGTGCTTCAAAATTACATAATCTATCAAATATAATTTTTAAAATAAATTTTTATAAAGTAATATGTTTTTATGATTTTTTTTTTGGAAGGTGAAATATAATAGTACTAAAAAATATAAAATAATTAATTTTTTATTAATTTTAAAAAATAAAATGTTATGGAGGTTCAACATGGAAGCTCGTGCTTGAGGCCTCCAGAATTACGGAGGCCTCAACATGAGCTTCCGTTAAACGGAGGCTCATGCTTGAACCTCCATAACATTACTTTACTAAAAATAAAATTTCACAAAAACATATTAATTTATAAAAATTAATTATAAAAATTATATTTGATAGATTATGTAATTATGAAGTACAATCTAACATATTAATATTAGAATTATTTCACGATGAAAATGAAATGGTAATAAAAACTTATTTTTCGAAAAATAAATATATTCATTTGTTAATATGTTTGATTTTCATTTTTTAAAATTTATTTTTCTTCAAACATATTTTCAATCATATATTTATGGAATTCATACTTTTACTCTTGAATTAGTGTGGAGAAATAGAGAGACATGACTTTAGCAATGTAAAAATGGAGAAAAAGTAAAGAGGGCTTTATGACATAATTCTCCACGTCGCGTAAATTGAGGAAAAGCAACAAAGTCACTGTATCAAGCACATAAAATAAACGACGTAGTTGCTTTCTCTTTATAAAAAAAAAAAAAAAAAAGTTACAATGAAATAAAATGGAAGAATCTACTGTTCTTTCTACAGTAGTGAAACATTGCCCTTTTTATATAGTAGTGACAAGTAATCAATTTGAATCTTTTATTTGTGATTGCCTTTTTTCCTAAACTCAAGATGTGGTGTCTTTTAACCTTGTGCTCGAATTATTTACTTCCAAAACAATCTGGAAACTCTTTGATTTGGGGTGTGTGTTTCTGCTGAATAGATTCAAGGAGGTGGAAATGCGGGAAATGCGTTAACTTGTGCAGCTCGTTTGGGGTTAAATCCAAGGCTGATTTCAAAGGTATTGAGATTTATGTGGTTTGTCAGCTTGTTAAGAGTTATGAGATTGCTTGGATAAAAAATTATGAATTCCATGAACAACTTTGATGTAGCCATCTGTTGACTAGGTTGCTGATGACTCTCAAGGAAAAGGAATATTGGATGAACTAGAGGCTGATGGTGTTGATTCATCGTTTATTGTGGTAGGCAACTTGTTTTGTTTTTATCTTGGAGGAACTACACTTGTACCCTGAAACTCACCTTTGTTAACATTTTTTCCTTATTTACTCCTTTTACTGATTTTGGACTTGTTATAACAAACTAGAATAATCAAGAGATGTTGAGAAGTATAGACTAAGAAATGAAACTACAATATTACACAGCATAACGTCTACTTATTATAATCTTCTTTGCAATTTTCTTACTTTCAGGTCTCTAAAGGGGGCAATTCACCATTCAGTTATATAATTGTTGACGATGAAACGTGAGTGCTTTTGCTTTGTTGGTTGCTTTGTTTTGATGATATTTTTGGTCCCATAAGGTAACACGACTTATCTGGTTGTCCATATTTGATGTAACTTTCTTCTCTTAATTTTTTGCTTTTGTAGCCAATCATTCTGGAGTTGTAACTTGTCTATAATCGTACCACTGAACTTGAATATTTTCTTGAGTCATAAATGTTGTGTTATTGAGATTGGTGACTTTATGCAAATTACTTGCCTTCAGCAAATGGTCTAATAATATTTTAGCTGTGCTTTTACGAACGAGGTTGTAGTGTTAAACAGGATGAAGCTTTGTTCAATGATGTGAAACCATTACGAAGAGACTATTTATAAAATGTGAAACCCTAGACTGTAGCCCAAACAAAAGAAAAGACCAAACATCCCATAACAAAGAAAGGTAAATTATGATACTATCTAACTCGTAGAAACAATAATTTATTTATTCTTTTTTGTAGAAAACAGAACAGAACCCACAAAACAACAGTAGAAACTATGAGTACTTGGATAGTCAAGAGTACTACAGCATATTTTGCTCTCCTAATGAAATCTAGTTCAGGATCCCTCTTTGGCTCTATGTTCTTTCCTAGTACTTATTATCCAAAATGTCAAGCGCTTGAGAAACCAAACTTGAAAGGTCATATTTTTCGAAGCTTTCTGCTTTTAGAAAAATGGTGAAAATTTTCTTCTTGTCAAATATGAACCTTGTGTGATATTTCAGGAAAACTCGAACTTGTATTCACACTCCAGGATACCCTCCCATGATACCTGATGATCTAACAAACTCGAAATTGTTAGCTTCATTGGATGGAGCAAAACTAGTCTATTTTGATGGAAGACTACATGAAACTGCTCTAGTTGTAGCTCAGGAGGTGATAATCACATGGCTTGGTTTTCACTAATTGTGTTTATCATTATCACTGATTAATTGGATTTTAGATTAAAAGTAAACTTCACTGTGCATGATTTTCCAGTGCAGGCAACTCGCAGAGGCATTCCTATTCTAATTGATGCAGAAAGGAAGAGGGAAGGGCTGGATGATCTTTTGAGTTTATCTAGCTATGCTATATGCTCAGCAAAATTTCCACAGGCAAGCTTTGACTTTCTTATGATCTATTTTATAACAGATGCTCTCCAATTCTATATTTAGATTTGATTTGTAACTGAACCTAATTATGGATCTCAATCGAAATCAAAATATTCTCATCCATCATATACTTTTTGGAAAAAGAAGCATCTTCACATTGTTAATTTTTTTCTCTTAAGAGTCATCGTTGTCATCATAGAAGTTGACAAACTTGAGATGGAAAAATATTATACAGCTCAAAGACTGATGTTCTACATTGGTGTGATTATTATAAGGATTTCCTTTTCTTTTTCCATCTTTTTGTCCAATGATGTCGTATTATTTTAATTAGGTCGAGATTATTTCACAGGTCAATGTTACTGTTTTCTGTGGGTTTTAGATGGTGAAGTTAGTTGATCATATTTTGTTTGACAGGCTTGGACCGAGGCTCCGTCTGTCCCTAGCGCACTTGTATCCATGCTTTTAAAATTGCCAAGTATCAAGTTTGTGATTGTCACATTAGGTGAAGAGGGCTGTCTAATGCTAGAGAGGTGTGTGAGTGGTATGTATGTAAATTCCTCTTCTGCTATCGATTACTGGTTTGTATTACATATTCCCTGTATTTACCTTCGTATTTGAAATTTTATTTTGGCAGAAAATGTTCATTCTGAAGAAGTGGATGTGGATGATTTATTGGAGATGCTGAAGGACAAAAAGGATAATAACACAACCATACCTATATGCATACCATCGGTAATTGCCCTTTGGTTCCCTGAAAATTTTTGGTGCTCTTTGGGCACTTTTGTCATGTTTGGACGATTTTATATGTTCACTGTGGGCCTGTGGCTCTAGTGCATGCATTAATAATAAAAGAAGTGATCTGAGCTTCAAGTTTTCTACATCACAAACTTGAGAAATCAGTTCTGATGAATAGAAAAGCTTGATGCACAGCAGCACTAGTAGCTGTGCTAAGTGTATCATTTTGAGTTCCTGTCACTACATGGGATTAAAGCATCTGCAATCACCATATCTTGAAGTGAGAGAACCTTTGATTAGTTATACAAAATTTTCCTGGCTATTTTTCTGTCTGCTATCGATATATTAATTTAAATATTAAACTAAAATACATTTTACTTCGTCAAAACTTGCGTGGCAAGTAGTGTAATTTCTGTTCCCAAATCAAGGGAACGAGTTGGGCACACCCTTGTCTGCCCCAGTCAATATTCAGAAGATTGAAAATTCGTACACTTGTACAGATTCAGTACAACTGCCTCTGGAAATTCTAAATGTTTTTGCCAAGCATATAGGCTGTATAACTTCTAGATCTCGTACAATTAGGCAAATAATGAAGGAGTAGTAATGATATTTAGATATCTGCTAGCTGTTATGTCCATCCTTTATTCTCCTTCTCCTTCTCCTTCTCCATCTGTTTTGAACTTAGCTTTTGGAACTAAGTTATATGAAGTTGAATGATAGCCCTCAGTAGGTAAAGATTTTTTTTCGTTTTCATACCTAATAATCTTTTATTATTAAATAGTCTCCATATACTTGTATTTATTCTTTGTGTTTTCAGAATATGGTAATCAAACATGTATGTTTTGATAGTTGATGGAGAAAAAAATACACTAACATCATCACTTGGTTATCCCTGAAACTAAAAGTCTTCATATCTGTTGGGTAGTGCCAAGTGCTACGAAAATCTGAGATATTGATTCATGAGGATAGTCAAGAGTACTACAGCATATTTTGCTCTCCTAATGAAATCTAGTTCAGGATCCCTCTTTGGCTCTATGTTCTTTCCTAGTACTTATTATCCAAAATGTCAAGCGCTTGAGAAACCAAACTAGGTCATATTTTTCGAAGCTTTCTGCTTTTAGAAAAATGGTGAAAATTTTCTTCTTGTCAAATATGAACCTTGTGTGATATTTCAGGAAAACTCGAACTTGTATTCACACTCCAGGATACCCTCCCATGATACCTGATGATCTAACAAACTCGAAATTGTTAGCTTCATTGGATGGAGCAAAACTAGTCTATTTTGATGGAAGACTACATGAAACTGCTCTAGTTGTAGCTCAGGAGGTGATAATCACATGGCTTGGTTTTCACTAATTGTGTTTATCATTATCACTGATTAATTGGATTTTAGATTAAAAGTAAACTTCACTGTGCATGATTTTCCAGTGCAGGCAACTCGCAGAGGCATTCCTATTCTAATTGATGCAGAAAGGAAGAGGGAAGGGCTGGATGATCTTTTGAGTTTATCTAGCTATGCTATATGCTCAGCAAAATTTCCACAGGCAAGCTTTGACTTTCTTATGATCTATTTTATAACAGATGCTCTCCAATTCTATATTTAGATTTGATTTGTAACTGAACCTAATTATGGATCTCAATCGAAATCAAAATATTCTCATCCATCATATACTTTTTGGAAAAAGAAGCATCTTCACATTGTTAATTTTTTTCTCTTAAGAGTCATCGTTGTCATCATAGAAGTTGACAAACTTGAGATGGAAAAATATTATACAGCTCAAAGACTGATGTTCTACATTGGTGTGATTATTATAAGGATTTCCTTTTCTTTTTCCATCTTTTTGTCCAATGATGTCGTATTATTTTAATTAGGTCGAGATTATTTCACAGGTCAATGTTACTGTTTTCTGTGGGTTTTAGATGGTGAAGTTAGTTGATCATATTTTGTTTGACAGGCTTGGACCGAGGCTCCGTCTGTCCCTAGCGCACTTGTATCCATGCTTTTAAAATTGCCAAGTATCAAGTTTGTGATTGTCACATTAGGTGAAGAGGGCTGTCTAATGCTAGAGAGGTGTGTGAGTGGTATGTATGTAAATTCCTCTTCTGCTATCGATTACTGGTTTGTATTATATATTCCCTGTATTTACCTTCGTATTTGAAATTTTATTTTGGCAGAAAATGTTCATTCTGAAGAAGTGGATGTGGATGATTTATTGGAGATGCTGAAGGACAAAAAGGATAATAACACAACCATACCTATATGCATACCATCGGTAATTGCCCTTTGGTTCCCTGAAAATTTTTGGTGCTCTTTGGGCACTTTTGTCATGTTTGGACGATTTTATATGTTCACTGTGGGCCTGTGGCTCTAGTGCATGCATTAATAATAAAAGAAGTGATCTGAGCTTCAAGTTTTCTACATCACAAACTTGAGAAATCAGTTCTGATGAATAGAAAAGCTTGATGCACAGCAGCACTAGTAGCTGTGCTAAGTGTATCATTTTGAGTTCCTGTCACTACATGGGATTAAAGCATCTGCAATCACCATATCTTGAAGTGAGAGAACCTTTGATTAGTTATACAAAATTTTCCTGGCTATTTTTCTGTCTGCTATCGATATATTAATTTAAATATTAAACTAAAATACATTTTACTTCGTCAAAACTTGCGTGGCAAGTAGTGTAATTTCTGTTCCCAAATCAAGGGAACGAGTTGGGCACACCCTTGTCTGCCCCAGTCAATATTCAGAAGATTGAAAAGTCGTACACTTGTTCAGATTCAGTACAACTGCCTCTGAAAATTCTAAATGTTTTTGCCAAGCATATAGGCTGTATAACTTCTAGATCTCATACAATTAGGCAAATAATGAAGGAGTAGTAATGATATTTAGATATCTGCTAGCTGTTATGTCCATCCTTTATTCTCCTTCTCCTTCTCCATCTCCATCTGTTTTGAACTTAGCTTTTGGAACTAAGTTATATGAAGTTGAATGATAGCCCTCAGTAGGTAAAGATTTTTTTTCGTTTTCATACCTAATAATCTTTTATTATTAAATAGTCTCCATATACTTGTATTTATTCTTTGTGTTTTCAGAATATGGTAATCAAACATGTATGTTTTGATAGTTGATGGAGAAAAAAATACACTAACATCATCACTTGGTTATCCCTGAAACTAAAAGTCTTCATATCTGTTGGGTAGTGCCAAGTGCTACGAAAATCTGAGATATTGATTCATGATAATGTGTTGATCTAATTTTGTCCTCCAGGGTGTGGCAAAATTGCATGCTAAAGGGATAGGAACTGTCACTGGCAGGATGCTTTTGGGAACAGCTGAGAAAATCCCACCCTCAGAACTTGTCGATACAACTGGTGCTGGTGATTCGTTCATTGGAGCAGTTGTTTATGGTTCGTAATTTGATTTCATATTATCTTGGTTCATGCTTTTGTATTTGGCTAGGGAGAGGGGTTATGATCTTAATTTCTAAAACGTAGGATTAAAAAAAGTTAATTTTGCAAAATTAAATCCAATATTGCCTTTGACGCAAACGACTGAGGGTTTACAAACAACCCATTGATGATTCAATGTGCCCTGGCGAGTTCGAATGCTGTTAAATTCTTTTGTTCATTTTGGTTTATGGTCTATATTGCTATGATACACCTCACTCTTCCAAAAACATTTTGTAGCTATTTGTGCCAACATGCCTCCAGAAAAGATGTTGCCTTTTGCTGCTCAAGTGGTTAGTTTAACTCTCTTGTGGTCCAATACTTAAAATATCGAAAATTTTATTCGTTAGTTGAAAGATTTCGAATCTTGTTTGATTGCAAGAGAAACTCATTATATCATAGCATTGTTGGACTACAGGCTGCAATTGGTTGCAGATCTTTGGGAGCCAGAACGGGCCTTCCACATCGCTCAGACCCTCGCTTGATGCCTTTTTTACAGTAGAGGTCCCAAGTGATGGCATTGATGCAATGGGTGAGACAAACTCGATATCTTGTCATCGACTTGGTCTTTTTCTCCTCGTGTTTTTTATGGGTTTCTTTTGGATCGATATCCTGATTCTTTTGTTACAGTACTTGTCTTACGAACAATATTTACTTCTTCGTAATTTTGAATCCTTGCCTTTTCTAGAGTAGAAAATACCCAGGCTTTCGCTCGATCAGATCTGACTGTTGAGCTTTGCCAAAGATGTTTGAACCTTTTCAGAATTTTGTATTTCTGATATCAAAAACTTACTTTTGTAAAAGTAGTTTTAATCCAGTTTTCGAAAAAAAAGTACTTAAGTGCTTTTTTAAGTTAGCCAATGTGTTCGCAGCTTTTTGTGGGCTGCATCGATAAAAGAGAATCATATTACAATAACATCAATAGCAGAATCCACATTACAGCAAAAGATTCATTAAAACAGAAGATAGGACAAGACAAGAATCTAAAGCTAACCATAATAAAGATGTCTTAAGCCCGTTATCCAAATTCTAAAACCTAATTGACTAAAAACAGAATATTGAGTGCATTTTACAACATGCTATCAGCATTTGTAGGCAGCCTCTTGAAGAAACTAACAGCACTTGAAGGCAATCTGTTCCTGAATCTGGGTGGCCTCAGATAATACAAACCACTTAGAGCCACAACCCACCGGATTGGCACCAAATAGAACCCGAACCACCACCACCGCCACCGCCACCGCCACCATTAGTCACCTGTTTAACCTCGTCATTTTGAGACAGATAAAGCTTCAAACTTATCTCGCCACGAACATGGGAAAACAAACTCCTTTTCTCTAGTGTATAAAGCTGAGCCATTTCTTCACCTTCTTTTGCAATGCCTGTCCCTGAAATCCTAACTTTTCCAAGAAAATTCCTGCTACTGTTAGACCTCCTCTCGTTGAACACATTCACTTCTATGGTCCTGTAAGGAAGGTCTGCGACGTCGTTTACGTGAAAAACCAACTTTTCATTCCATAGAGGATTAAGTTCTCTGTGCTTAACCTGAGTTCTTAGCTTTTGGTTCTCAAACTCAACCTCTACAAATGGTGAAGATGAACCCTCCCCGTCTTTTGGCATTAGATTGTGCGCCGCCACCACCTCCACCACCAGCTTTTCCTTGTAGCTATTATTCATGGCCGAGGGCTAGGGAGAGGGAGAGGGAGAGGGAGAGGGAGAGGGTTGAATGGAGTATTGATAGAAGGAAGGTGACAGAGTGAGACAGAATTGGAGACTGGATTTTGAGTTTATCTCATAAAGACGTACAGCTCATTAGGACAATGCGTGTCGCACAATCGCTGTTAATATTTTATAATTCTACTTACTGCTTATTAATGTGCTGAGTAATCAACATTAATGGGTTTAATTAATGATTAGTAGTTAGGTATGAAAATTTTGCCCCGTTTGGATATGATTTTTCAGGCCAAAAATTAAAAATTAAAATTTTATTTAATATAGTCAACCGTCATTTTTTACTTTTTCACTCACAGTCAAGACCTACTTTTCTATCTGACAATCAAAAAATTGATTCTAAAAATCAATATCAAACAGGCCTTTTATGATATGGCTTGACACATTAAAAGCAAATCCATATTTGGATGAAATTTATAAATATTTAAATCACTTTAATTTGTACAATTTGAGATATTTACAAGTACCATTTACTTATTATTTATAATTTACAAGTACTATTTACTTATTATTTCTATTTTATTTCTATTTACTTACAATTTAACTTGTTTGAAATTAATTCTTAAACATACTCATTTTTTGTAACATGAATTTGAGTAATGCACATTTAAGATATAGAATATATAAAAGAGAAATCACGTTATTCTTTTAAAAATAATATTGTGATAGAGAAAAAATTTTACTTTAAAAAGAATATTATTTATAGAAAAATGAATAATCTATTAGTTTATCGATCGATCTAATGAGCCAATTTCTAGGCAAAGTTGTTACAAAAATGCAACGAATGTTGAACGTTTTTTGAATTTTATAGTAGTGAAGTTGATATGATAATAAAATAATTTATTGACAAAAAATTGTTCATGGGGATAACGAATACGTTTATCGAACGTAATCATAATTTAGATGATAGTCCGTAGTTGTAATTTACCATCTGTTTCTCCAAACAAAAAAGTCTTTCAACCATTATATCGTTTAATATTTACTTTGCAAAATGAACCCTGCTACACTTACAGAACAGACCCCTGTTAGATACTCATAGTGCTGGCCCTAACTTTTTTTCTTTCTTTTTTTTTCATGTGGGAGTGAGGGGTTGATAAGGATTCTATAAGGAATTGCTTGCAAAATACCCCTAATATGGTACATGTACTGAAAAAAAAAAAAAAAAAAACTGGTACACCGAGTTTGATTTGAGCATAAAGAAAAAGCCATCAATTTTAGATACATATTTTTTAGACAAAATTAAATTAAATAGAGGTTATCAAGTTAAAAAAGGTCATTAATATTGATTGTAAAATTTTTTGTATATAATTAATTATTATTCCATATTCTGTGAGGCTTTAAAAGGATTTTAAGTTAAAAAATTGTCCTATGTATTTAGTACAACAATTAAAGTCGTGAACAAAAAGATTTATTATTTAAGTAAAATTATTAATTGTTATTGAACGCTTTAATGAAGAGCGTGATAGAATCTTCTGCCAAACCGAGAAATTAAAACAGAACAAGAAATCGATTCTCGTCGTCCTAGGTTCATACGGTTAGAATGTTGGATTTTCGCACTTCATAGGCGCGTGAAACACGGATGTCTGCAAAAAAGGTCGCGTCCTATTTTATTCTATCCAAGAGAAAAACAACATTGTCATTCGTGTGGGAAACCTACCCGTTGCTACGTCACTCTCATTCTTTTAGCGCGTGACTTCTTCTACGAGGGAATTTAGCAAAATTTGAACTCTCGAGTCTCAAACAAAAATAATAATAATAATAAATTTTAGGAAAAATTGCAGCTGAGGTGTCAAATCTTTCACTTATTATCAGATTTGATCCAAACCTTTCATTTGTGCCAACCACGATACCAAACCTTTCAAAAATTCGTAATTGAAGTTCAAATGGATGAAAACTGTTAATTTAACTGTTAGTTGACTAAAAAATTAACATTGACCATAACTTTGACTAATTTTATAAGGGTAAAATGATAAATTTATATTTTTCAACAAATAACATAATTATAATATATTAATAATTAAATTTTAAAAAAATATTATTCATCTTCTTCTCCACTCACCCTCGAGACCAAACACAAAAAGACAGTAGTGCTGCTAGTTGAAGCACTCCCACCCATCCCATATACATTAGCCAAAGCTCTAGAAAAACCATTTCGCTGTTTTCTTATCTCTATTTCTACTCTCTCACACAGTTCCACACGCTCAGTGGACATCTTTTGCAGTGCCAATTTGGTGTAGGGCACTAGAAAATTTTTTACTAGACAAGCTCCATTTCCTTCTGAATTTGGATTGGAAATCGGAGATTTCGAGTTTTAATTCGCAAACCAGCATGAGATTTTGGCGATGTAGCTAGAGAATGTGGGTGAGATTGAACTAAAACTGAAGAATTTATTGCTAATTTCAGGAAAATAATCTGTGGATTTTGACTTTTTTTTAACCCAACAAAATGGGTTGTGAAAACTTGATGAATTTTGGGAATCAAGAATGGTTGGGAGATAGTCTTTAGGGTAGATTTAACATTTTTAGGTCACAAACATAGGACTTTTAGAACCAGACTATGATTCAAAGAAATTTGTGGATGAAAATCATATTTTCTGACATTGTGATGTTCAACGAAATTAGTATAGTCTTTGATATTTTTGGGGTAAATTTTATGTGATTCTTGGTGTTGATCGAAGAAGATGACGACGCTACTGGTGTTGGAGCAGATCTGGGAGGTGGGGGGAAAAAGAAAATTATTCTTTTTTTTATTTTTAATTATAATAAGATTATTTTATGTGAAATAATATAAAATCACCATTTTACCCTTTTTACATTGGTAAAAAAAGGTCAAAAATTTTAAATGGTCAACTAACAGTCAAATTAACAGTTTCCACCCATTTGAACTTCAACTACGAATTTTTTAAATGTTTGATATCATGGGTGGTACAAATATAATGTTTGGATCAAGTCTATTAATAAACAAAAGATTTAATATCTCTGATGCAATTTTCCCTAAATTTTATTCATAGACTCAATTTTAGTCCCATTTTATTATAAGAATACATTTTAAATTGTATATTGATGGAGAATGAGTAGTTAAGAAATAAAAAAATCAAATAAATGTTATTTTATTGAAAAATGTATGATTGAAAGAAAGAGAAAAAAATATTTTGAAAGTAATGAGAATCAAATAAGGGCATAGACCATGAAAGGGAAAAATAAAAAGAAAAGAGTTTAGTGACATGGTGTAATAAATAGTCTCCAATTTATTTTCAAATATGCATTTTTTCATCAAATAATTTTACATGTAAATGTAAAAAACAATTTAATCATATGTTCAGTAAAAAATCACAATTTCAAAATATATTCCCCGAAATGAGGTTCAAACAGGGATAGAATAACATCATTTGGTGATAATTGATGTATAGTTATTGGGTTATTATTATTGTATATTTAAAAACTCAAATGATTATTACCTTAAGAAATAACATCAATGACAATTGACATAATTATTCAAAATTTCAGAGACTAGTAATGTAATTAAGCAAATAATAATAATAATAATAATAAATTATTTTTGTCTGATTTAAAGTTCAAGGGTATTTTTCACATACAGAAAAATAACTTCAATGACTATTGACATACTTCCTAAATGTCTCTGGATACAACACACACTAATAAATGGTTTTGAACCTTTCTAAGCATTTAAAAGAACACAAAATTAGTCATCCTTTTGATAGATAATTTTGGGATTGAATAGAAATCGTTATATAGAACTTGGGGCAAATTGTAAAATATTGTAGGTGAAGTAGTCTCTCTAAAGAATGTATGAACACGAATAAAGTCCTAAAAATTAAGGAATACTAAACTTTTGATATTCTATTTTTAACTCTATAAAATTGAAATATATCAAAGGAAAACAAACCAAAACCTCAAATTTAGTGGTTTGTAAATTTCTATTATATAAAACACGAACTTACTTCTTATTCAAAGAAATGGAAATAGAATGGACCAACCACAAAATGGAATAGGCTATGTTCAAAAGTTAATTTAGCAAATAGGCTAAAAATACTTGTCGAAGTAAAGGAGACAGGCTTTGAGGGT